CACTTTGCCTTAGCCGTTACAATGTAATAAGTGTTAATTGGAGAGGCAGTTTCTGTAAGCAGGGCAATAAAGATTAGCCTAGAAACAACACCAGAATGTTTCCTCCCTGCCTTCCTTACAGGATTAGCCCTGTAAAGCGAAAAAACAAAAACAAAATAAGATTTCTTCCAACAACTGGTCCTCCGAACTGCTTAGAAAGTTAACAACTGGTTCTCCTGGATAGGTGCGAATTGAATGAATCCCACCATTGGGCAAAACTCATTTAACAACTGCCTTGCTTAGCTATGGACATTTTGGGTTCAATTGTGGTTGTCAAAGACTAATTGTATTTGTTTCTTTGTTTGCCCCTCTCCCTGGTAAGGCAACTCTGGCATGAATGCTACTGAAATTACATTTGGTTCCTCATATCTGGCCTATCCCTATACAGAAATCCCAGCGAAAGCAAGAAATAAGGTCTTCATATCTGGCATAGAGAAGTGGTTTCTAAGTCTTTCCTGAAAAATAAAATGGCTTCTGTGTGAAATGCCTCTCAATCTGACAATGGGATTCATCAAGTAAAAAGTGACACAGACACTGCAAAGCATAGGAAAATAGGTCCATTCAGGTTCTTTTCTTTTTTTTTAACTGCAGCATTATCATGTGTTTTTTAGCTTAAAAATAAACTGGTAGTCATTAGTTGGCGTTATGCAGAAGTATATTTTGGTTTATGAATAGGAGTTGAGTAGCAAATGATACCTTGTTCATATTTTGTTTTATTGGACTTTAGGATTGCCAGATATAATGCATGCTGTGGGAATGCATACCCCACTGGAAGGGGGGTAGGGGGAACCCTCTTCAAAGCTTAAGATAATAATTCTAACTAGAGAGCATAAACTGTTTCAGGCAATATGATAAACAGATGCCATCTCTACAAATTAATCTTCTGTTTCATGCTGTTAAGCAGACAGCCAGCAGGTAAAGTAAATCAAATTCACAATATCTTCTAGTAAAGGTTACAACATAAAGATAAGAAATAATTTCACATTCTCAAAAACATTAGCATTAGGTTTACTTCAGCTTTTCTGTATTCTCACATGCAAGGCCATAATTGCACCAGAGCACAAATACTTTTTGTAACTATGTAAGAGAGAAAACATAGAAGATGTATTTCTTAGGCAAATACATATTTGAGCAAATATGTGCTTTATATTCAAAGTAATTTTACTTCTGTTCCTAGGATCTTAATTTTGGGAGAGGTCCATGCAAAATCAAGCTTCCTTCTATGGATGTCTGTGGTGATGCTGGGGTGGGAGAGAAATTGGCACTTTCCATCTTGCCTAATAGATTAAATAATAAATGGATGATGCTCTAAGAATTGTAGAATTACAATTCCCAGTGTTTCTCTTCAGTGGTCATGGCCATGCTGGCTGGAATTGTCATTTTCTGGTATCTAGGGGCCATAGATTTCTCTTCCCTAATTTAGGGAAACTGTTGTAAAATTCCACAATGTTTTGTAAGAGATATATATTCTGTAAGTTGCCCAGAGTCACCTTGATTTGGATAGTCATATCAAATAATGTTCTTAATAAGTAAATCAAATAAAAATATTATGCTATAAGTATCTTCCATAATTATTAGCAGAATTAATACACACAGGCACACCCATGTCACTGATACAATATGCACACACATATATGCTTACATGGGAGCCAGTTTTGTGTAGTGGTTAAGGCACCAGGCTAAAACCTAGGAGACCATGGGTTCTAGTCCTGCCTTGAGCCTGAAGGCAGCTGGGTAACTTTGGAGCAGTCCCTCTCTCTCTCTCTCTCAAACTTAGGAAGGAGGCAGTGGCAAACTACTTCTGAAAACCTTGTCAAGAAAACTGCAGGGACTAGTCAATATTTGGACAGAACAGAATAAAATACATACCGTACATACATACATACATACATACATACATACATACATACATACATACATACATACATACATACATGGTGCCCTTCAGCTGTACTTCAAATGTTTAATGTTAATACGGAAGAGATTCTACTCTAAATAGCTGCAGTTTACAACTCTTAAAAAACAGATCGAATGCAAAGATTTTAATGGATTAAGAAAATGTTTATATGACAGAAAACACATTATGTTCACTCTGGGCAATTAGTCCCTGCAAATTTCTCAGCAAGATATTCAGTGGCTTTGCCACTGCTTTCTCCTACGGCTGAGAAAGAATGGTTGATCTGAGGTCATCCAGCTGGCTTCATATTTAAAGTGGGACCATCTGGTTTCTAGGTGCCCACAGTGGCGGGTTCCTATCGGTTCAGATCAGTTCGACCGAACCGGTAGTGGTTTGGCGGCCTGGGTCACTGGAACCAGCAGCACCCAGGCCTGCCACGCCCCTGAACAGGTTCTCTGGGTGGCACCATGGGCGCCATCTATTTTTCAGTTCTGTGCATGCGCAGAATAGTACTGCACATCCGCACACATCAAGTGCACATGCACACGTGGCACACACATGAGTGAACCAGCAGTAGTGCCTGCCGGAACCCATCCCTGGTACACCAGCCTAAATTCCTTCCTCCCTCCCTCCCTCCCTCCCTTCCTTCCTTCCTTCCTTCCACACACACACACCAAGTAATTTGTGTACTTTTTCCGTCATGTGATGAATCATTTGGTAGCAACATCTTCAGGGAAGAAACTGCCTCCATATCTGGCAGTGTAAATTAACATCTGAAACTGATTTTTTCTATAGATTTTCTGAAATTCCAGTATTGTCCAGTATATCAAAGATCAGAACATTATATCTGTCATTAAGACTATAGATTTCAAAAGAACATATGTGTATATAATCAAAAGTTCATAAACCCAGAGTTTTTAAATTATGTTATAAATTACTTCTATAAACTTACAGCTTTTCTACTTATCCATTAATATTAATATTTTTAATAATAATAAATAAAATCCATTAATGTTTTTAAGCAGTTAGCTCAATGACTAATATAATTCTAATAAACTTTTACCATGCATATTTCAAAAGCAATTGAGAAAGCATTTGTCACAAGCGTTGACTCATACACTAAAAATAGCTTTGAGTAGGATGATTCCGCACCTACACCACTTTAGCATCTTTGATTCATTACTAGTTGTTCTTTGAAACATCAGCACAACGGAGGAATAATCTTCCATATGTAAGGATTAAGTACTTTGTGTTTCATTTTAATTCACAACATCTTAAACGACCGTAGATTTGAATATATACCATGTTGCGTTCTTAAAGTTCAGTGAAATAATGTTTCAGTTATCTCCGCTTAATTCTTAAACAAACTGAAGCTTTTTAGATGATTTACCATGATGTTCAAACTGAGGAGTCAGTTCTTCCAACAAAGCAGAAATGTTAACAGAAAAACAAAGTGAAACCTCTAGCTGTGATTGAAGAGTAGAGAAAGGTAGAATTGCCATGGTTTGAGTGTTCCTGTTGGCAGGTGTCATCAAACAGGAAATCCTCTGATCTATGCAACTTGTTGTTTATTAATAGTAAATCCAGAATCTGAAAATGCTTGTTTTAAATGTGCATGTGCTTTGCCTTAATTTGTTACATATACTGCTATAGTAATGATATATCAAAGATATATCTACTAGTTTAGAAACCTGCAGGTTTAGTTTGTCAATTCTGTGTTTTGAATCCAGGTTTGGTTGAGTTCTCAGNGATCACAGAAGCGTCTTCAGAGAATGCTGGCTCCATCAGCTAGGAAACCAGATGAGTACTGCCCCCCAGATCACACTTGACTGGAAAGGAGAAATTTTTACCTTTTTAATTGATTGGTGTAATTGATTACTTACTGTTACTCAAAAAAAAATCCCAACAGTCCATACCTAGTTTGATGTCAATATGTAATTTATTGTTATCTATCTCATTTAAATATGAATTGCTGTTCATATTTTTAAAGGTTAAAAAATAAAGAATTGTAACAAATATGCTTTATAAATGATAATGTGATAGATTGCATTTATGTATTTATTTCAGGGCACTCTCAAGGGCTTTGATCAGACAATCAATTTGATTTTGGATGAGAGCCATGAAAGAGTATTCAGTTCTTCACAAGGAGTGGAACAAGTAGTATTAGGGTTATACATTGTGAGAGGAGATAATGTGTAAGTTTTATCCTTTTGAAGTTAATGTAATCCAAGCTGCAGTTAGATATGAAATCACTTGTTATTTGAGAGCCTATCTGGAAACAAGGTTATTGGTATCCCTCTAAGCTGTGGTTCCCAAAAGTTTTCCCCCATTACACCTCCCTTTAGTATAAGGTATACACCTCCCTTAAAAATCCAAATCAAATGAACAATTAAAATCAGTAAAATGATAGTTTGGGAAAGATGGATGTATTGTAGCAATGTACTTAAAAGGCTTTCACAACTTCCCTGAACTCTCTCTACACATCTCCAAGAGTGGTACCTCACAGTTTGGAAAGCCTGCTTTAAGGTTTTTCATACTACTCCTCATAGATGAAAATTCATTTTCCTTTGCCCCTTTCAGCCACTTGCATACTAATATTTATATAGAATTTCTTTATAATCCAACCCATATGCTTTCTTTATTCCTCTGTTCATTAATATCTCTTGTCTAATATTCATAACCAGACGTTATTTCTTAAGCAGCTAAGTCATGCCAAAGTTTGATATTCCCTCTGAACTTTCTGAATGTTTTCTTAAACTCACTTTTGTGTACATGTATATCTAAGATACAGTGCTGAGGTAGTTGCTGCCAGAGTCACAGTGGATGACTCTGCTTAGTGCTTAACTGTTTAAAAAAGCTTCTAAAAAGTGCCCTCTACAGGAGGAGGTGGGAGAACCACATGCCTCATTTAGTCTGAATTTATGATCACTTGAGCAGAGTTACGCAAGGGTTAAAAACCAAAAAATTCCTTAGGTAGATGAGGCACGTGGTTCTCTTGCCTCCTCCTGTAGAGGGCACTTTTTAGAAGCTTTTTTAAACAGTTAAGCACTAAGCAGAGTCATCCACTGTGACTCTGGCAGCAACTACCTC